TGCGTTGATATGAAACTGAGTATGGCTCTTTTGGTCAAAAGTTTAGAAGTCGTACCTTTGATTTGGATTTGAAATAAATCCACGATTGGATTCTAACGTAGGTCTAACATAGATAGTTCGGAGTCGCTACAGCGGTCACTTGGGAGCATCTTCTGAAAATCGGTCTGGTCGTTTGTGGAGAATTCACGCAATCTCATTAACGCATTTGCAAAGATCCGTTTTGCCTCTGTGTACGATCGTTTCGTCGACACAGTGTCCTCGGTTCCAATAAGAACGTTGTCGACGTAAAGGTTTCGTAAAATAGAATGAGCTAACCAGGATTGTTGGTGTTGCAAATGGTGTTGAATTACTGCTGTCAGAAAAAAGGAGCTACTAACCACTCCAAATGGGAAACAAGCAAACCTGTACACGGTAATATTTTCAGGTGTTGCTGGCTTATCCAGATTTTGAACCCATAAGGAACGTGTTACATCGCGGTCGTTTAAGTGCAGGCCGACTTGCAGGAAAGCTTTTTCTACATCAGCGAGTAAGATATTGTTGTAAATCCGGCTTCGGAGTAGGATGGCACAGAGTTGCGGGAGTAGAACTGGTTTACGATATAAAGCCTCGTTAAGCCTACACCCTTCATTAGTTTTGGCGCTAGCATCGAAGACAATGCGAAGTTTGGTAGTCTGCTTTGATGGTGTAATCACTGCTTGATGGGGGAGAAAGTAGACTTTGGAGGCTGATTGGGACGGTGCACGCTCGGTAATTCCATTCTCAAGTTATTGTTGTAGGATGCTGTCGTATTGTTCAAGTGAGCCTTGACACGGCTTCTGTCGATTCAGCAAACTTTTTAGCCTTGCCACACACATGGCATAGTTATTGGAGAGCTGTTTATGCGTATCTCGTCAGGGCCAAGAGACTACATATTGTCCCGAGATATCCTTAGTGAGGGTTTTCTCAAAATGTCGATATACTGCGTCATTATCACTTTCTGATGTAGTATCTGTGATCGCAATAGTGTCGAGATCCCAGAACCGATTGACATCGACACTCATGTTCATAGATGATGTACTGGAGAGGGTTTGAATTGATTGTGGGACCGGCCCGGTCAGAAATGGACCCACTTGAGTTTGAATCAAAAAGAATCCATTTCGCTTTATTTCGACGATGGAGCAAAAGTCGAAGAAGTAGTCGATGCCAATTACGATGTCAGGATGTTTGACTATACACTGCTTGTCGATATTGCATCTGCATCATTGGGTACCTCATCAACTGGCAAGGTATGGAGGCGAAGCATGAGGTATGGGACTTCTAACCTCAGCGGTTTGAACACGCCGGTAGTAGTTTTTACGAGAATATCAGTCTTTTGTGATGGAACCACTGTTGGTCGAGGAGACGCAAACGTAGAAATAGATAGATTTCGTTCTTGTGCTTGAGA